GCTTTCCTGCTGCAGGCAGTGGCTTTACCTGCTATGCCACAGTGCCAGCCCCTGAGAAAAAAATCTTGGAGCAATAAAAATCAATTGATAATGAAAGAATGTGTTGGGAGGCCAGCACCATGGCTCACTAGGTTAATCCTCTACCTGAAGTGCTGGCATCCCATATGGCTGCTGATTCTAGTCCCAGCTGCTCCACTTCCAATCCAGCTCTCTGCTGTGGCCTGGGAAAGCAGTAGAAGATGGCCCAAGCACTTGGGCCCCTGCACCCATGTGGGAAACCTGGAAGAAGCACCTGGCTCCTGGCTTTCGGCACACAGATTGGCACAGTTCCACTCCGGATCAGCTAAACTCTGGCTGCAATGGTCATTTGAGGAGTGAACCAACGGAAGGAAAACCTTTCTCCCTGTCTCTCCCTCTCACTCTCTGAAACTCTTCCTCTCAAATAAGTAAATAAAATCTTAAAAAAAAAGTAAATGTGGATGGCATTTTATAAAAAAAAAAAAAAGGATGTGTTTTGTTGTGTGTGTGTGTGCACATATGTCCACACACTCATGGGCACATATATATATGAATGAATTAGTTAACATTTACAATAGATGCATGAAACAAACATGTTGTCGCTTCATTTTATGCAAACCTGTATGTTAGGAAAATTCCATAAGAAATTTTGTTTTATAAGGATTTGGTTTATTTATTTGAAAAATAGAGTTACAGAGAGAGGTAGAGCTGGAGAGAGAGAGGTCTTTTCTATCTGCTGGTTCACTCCTCAAGTGACCGCTGCAGCCAAAGTTTAGCTGATCCAAAGCCAGGAGCCAGAAGCTTCTTCTGGGTCTCCCACAGACATGGGCCGTCTTCTACTGCTTTCCCAGACCGTAGCATAGAGCTGGATCAAAAGTGGAGCAGCTAGGACTTGTACCAGCACCCTTATTGGAATCCAGTGCTGCAGGCTGGGGCTTTAGTCCACTGTGCCACAGCACCTGCCAGAAATTTAAAATCTATACATAGATTGCTCCCAGGAGAGCCTAGAATTTTGAGAAAGTTTGGTTTTTAATTGATCTTTACTAATCTGTGAACAATTTTCCTTCCAACAGGCATAAACATTTTCTTGGATGGCTATGTTCCAATAGAAAACTTGAGATTCAGAGATGCATCACTTGTTTTTAAAGTGGCTGAGACAGCAAATGAAGTTAAAAAGATGTGTATGTATAAATACCCAGGGATGAAGAAAAAGATGGGAGAGTTTGAGCTAGCCATTGTAGCTGGAGAGTTTACGGATTCTGAAATCATGGTGATGCTTGGGGAAAATGGTTAGTTTTCCTTATCTTATAATATGTAGAAAAGTCTGTTCTGTTAGTTCGGTAAATGAAAAAGTCCATGAAAAAGCCTTAATTCAGGGTTTTTTTTTAAATTTTTTTTTGACAGGCAGAGTGGACAGTGAGAGAGAGAGACAGAGAGAAAGGTCTTCCTTTTGCCGTTGGTTCACCCTCCAATGGCCGCCGCAGCCAGCGCACCGTGCTGATCCGATGGCAGGAGCCGGGTACTTCTCCTGGTCTCCCATGGGGTGCAGGGCCCAAGCACTTGGGCCATCCTCCACTGCACTCCCAGGCCACAGCAGAGAGCTGGCCTGGAAGAGGGGCAACCGGGACAGAATCCAGCACCCCGACCGGGACTAGAACCTGGTGTGCCGGCGCCGCAAGGCGGAGGATTAGCCTAGTGAGCCGCGGCGCTGGCCTTAATTCAGTTTTAAGGTTGTCAGCTAGGTTTTCAATTCACAAATTTTTCATTGTAGCCTCAAAATTTTGCAGCAATGTATATTTCAATCTCATTAATTCAAGTTAATACTTCTTGTTTCATGGCCTTCAATGGAGATGTTTTTCTCAGCTGGCTTTTCAGTTATTCAGCTTGCAAACTGACTAGGGAGAAAACAATTCCTATGCATAGTCTAGTTTAAAAAGTTTTTAAATTTTCTACATTTTTATTTGAAATTTATTTTAAATTTAGGATAATTTACCTTTTAAATAGCAGATGCATTACCAGCATGTTTTTCTTTTCAAGATTATTTATTTGGAGGGCAAAGTTAGAAAAAGGCCTTCCATTCCCTGTTCACTTCCCAAATAGCCTCCATGGCTGGGACTGGGCTAGGACAGAGCCAGGAGCTTCATCCAGTCTCTCACGTGGGTGGCAGGAGTGCAGGCACTTTGACCATCTTCCACTGCCTTTTCAGGCACATTAGCAGGGAAGCTGGAACACAAGTGGAGCAGCCAGGACTTAAACTGGCACCCATATGGGATGTCAGTGTCCCAGGTAGTGGTTTAACCTGCTGTACCACAATGCTGGTCCCATATTACCAGCATTTTCTATGTTAAAGACAATGAATTTGAAAACTAAATAATCTGTACTTACTACTTTCATGACTTAAACTGATTTGAATTATATTCCTATAATTTAGAATGATAGGAGAAAACTTTCTATATAAATGTTATTGTAATAAATCAGTCTTCAGTTAAATATAGAAATTTTTAATTGGGTTGCAGTAATAACTATTTCATGTAAAATGTAAGATGCTGGTATCATAAAACAGCCTAGTGAATTATGTGCATTGATGATGTCGCTAAATAATTTTGTTAAACAATCTCAAGACTTAACACTTTATAGACCTGTCCATTTTTAAAATGGCCATTATAAGGTTGGAATAGTCTTTGTTCCTTTAATCAGATTAGAATGATTCATTTATTTGAAAGGCAGAAAGAAACAGCTCTGTCATTTGCCGTCTGTTCTCCAAATGTCCCTGACAGCTAAGACTGGAACAGGTAGAACCAGGAACTGGGAACTCAGTCTGAGTCCCCAACATGGGAGGCAGGGACCACCACTTGAACATACCAGGGTGAACCTTAGTAGGAAACTGGAATTGGGACTGGAGCTAGAACTTCAACCCTGGCAGGCATCCAAGCAATATACGGAATGTCTCCTCTCCAAGATAAAGTGTGTAACCTAAGGAATTAGATCTCTTTGCATCTGTTTCTCTCTTCCATCTCTCAAATAAAAATTTTAAAAATAAAAATGTATCCCCAAACCATCATTTCTCTCCATAGCAACAGCTTTTAGTGTGATCCAAATCAACATGTGTAACTATAGTTATATATAACATATCTAACTATATACATATAACAACATATATAACTATAGTTATATACATAGTTATATATATATATATAACTATAAAGTACAACTGGTCTTGAAGACTAAGAATGAAATGTAAGTTATCTCACTAATAATAGTCTAGTCATACTGGGTTAGAAATATATTTAGTTTTACCTGTTCCTTGTCCTTTTAAATGCAGCTATAGAAAAATCAAAATCAGACACTAAATTTGCATTATGTTTCTACTGACCAGTGCTAAGACCATGCTCCTGCTCTGTATTAATGGAATACTGCTAGTGCTTATACTAAATACTCAGTCATGCAAGTTCCAAGATAACAAGCTGTTTTTCTACCAATATAGAGTTCTAGGTTTTAAATCCCTTTTTTACTAGTGTATGAGTTCCCAAGTAAAGAGTACCTAAGCCACATGATTCTTCCTTAAGAGCTCCATAATTCGTTTGATTTATGAAAGCATTTTAATTTTTTTAAATATTTTAGCTACTCAGTTTGTTTTTTTTTTCTCCTTCATTTTACAGCTTCACTTTATATGGGCTCAAATAGTTTCATAAAATGGTATTTGTAATTAATAAACAAAATAAATATATGAAAACCTTAATAACTTATTGAGAATGTTATACTATCAATCTTATACTCAAGATTGATCATTGTAAATTTGTTTCTAAGAAACTGCTCTAAAAATACAACTATAACTAAGCAGGAAAAATCTCTCCAAAAACTGATTGGTCTAAATCTTTACCTCTGGGAAAATAAATGTGATTATCACCTTTACCTCTTACAAGCATCTCTTTATATGCCACTGCCGTGCCTTGACCTCTTTTCCAATGTTCCCCACTCAATATTACATCGAACTTGCTTTTCACATACACAAAAAAGACAGACCTGTGATGCCTGCCTGGACACGTATGAACTTGAGCTCCTGCACCCATGAGGGAGACCTGGATGGCATTCCAGGCTCCTAGTTTTGGCTCACCCAGCCTCAGCCCCTGCAGCCATTTGGGTAGTGATCTAACTCTCTCTCTCTCTCTCTCTCTATATATATATATATATGTGTGTGTGTGTGTGTGTGTGTGTGTATATATATATATCTGTCTCTCAACACTGCCTTTCAAACAAATAAATAAATATTCTTTAAAGTTTCCTGACCAATGAAAAAGAAGTGGAAGAATTTGACTAGGATTCCAGATGAGTGGGTGGACTTGATTTCATTCAAGGAATGAAAAGTGAAGAATTGAACAAATTTTGGAAACTGTCTTGCATTTAATCTCTTCTCCCCAGTTGTTTTCCTTCTCATTTTCTCTTTTGCACTCTTGAGTTAAAAAGAAGCCTTACCTGTCTTTGTTTTTGCTTTTTAATTTTACTCTAATTTATTCATGGAGAACAGGTCTGTGGCTTCAGGCCTCTGGGAGGGGTTCTTGAGGGCTAACAGAGGACAGCTCAAGGAAGGGCTCCCTCTGCTGAAGTGTTGTGGGGGTAACGGCCTCATCATTTCCTGAACCACACTAAACTCTAAAAACAATTACAGAAAAATTAACAACTTTTCATTGTGAGACTTGCACACTGTTGTCTGTAATTTCAGAGAAAGCATTGACACATTTACCAAATGTGATCACAAAAATATGGAATTCATAATAAAACATTAAATAGGGAAACATACACAGATCTTGATGCATTTGTGAAATAAAGTCCTGCTGCTTTTTCATCAAATCACTCATGGATAATGAAGTTGTTCTAGTTTTCCAGTTTGCACACCAGGTGGGCATTAGAAATTAGCCAGTAAGTGAGATAATGAGCCTTCGGTTTCTCAGTTATCAACACCTAAATGTAAAGGATTCGTTCTGTCAAACTAGACCGTGCTTTCATTGTGTGAGTAACGCATCTCTAGTCACTCATCCAGATCTGGAGGGGGCATAAAAACTCCCCCCACAATGAGAGATTTGCTAATATAAAGATGCAAATACTTGAAGTGAAAATCTGGAAAGTGGCCATAAGATAACTACAGCAATTAACCCTGCGGACTTCTGGTAGCTGACTGGCACACTTGCAAATGCAATTAGAACAGAAGGTAACAGAATTTTTAAAAATATATACCGAGGAAAATGTGCTACTAACTGCAACACTAAACTGGTGTGACGGGTGCTCTGAGTAGAATTTCAGCCTAGTAGAACCAATGGCTGAAGACACATGCCTGGGTGGACCCGGAAGTCCCAGCCGCCTGAAGCACACAGGCAGGCGGTGAGCGATGTTGATAAGCATTTAAAGCATATAAAAGGCAATGGGAAATGGTGACACCGTAATGGACCGGTCATCTCCAAGTCATTCAAGGTGACAGGTGATTGGACTGAGTTCTACACAACAGAACTAGACAGTCAGTTTTTATCACTTTGCTGAAAAGGATCCAAATGACAGCAAGCAGAAAGGATTCCTGCAGTAATCCCTGCATCTTTAAGGCAGAGACAATTCTCAGAGCACGGCGGAGACTGTCTGATGCTCCCCTGACCTTATGTTGTCATTAGTTTTCTCGCTCCTACCCCTTTTCAGAAAGTAACCCAGTTCCATTTTGGTGAATTGCCTCTCCAGCCCAAAGTCGGAGCAGGACAGTAAATCTCACTTCTGTGAATCTTTCCCCTAGAATGAAGATCCCACCTGTAAACACATAGATGTAAAAAATAAATAAATAAATAAAATGGATTGCGGCCTTGTTTTGTGGAGGCAAAAGCTGAAAGTAAAAGGAATAGTCATCCATGGGAGAATGAATGAATACATGGTGGTCCATTCGTGACCTGACATGGTTTATAGCCATTTAAAAGAATGATTTAGCTTTAACCCTTTAACTTGAATTACCACAATACACCAACTGATAAAGGTAGCATGTAATGAATTCCACTTTGTAAAACAATGAGTTAAAAATGCCCGATAATTTGAGTTGATGTTCGATTACTTGTATTGATGAATATACACAGGGATGCACACTCCATGGTTAATAATGACAAGGGAGAAGGAAGACATAAAAACAAAGATTTCAGATGTCAAAAACCCAACATGTATTATATATCATCTAAGTAAAATTTGCAGCATACTTTACAGCATACATACACCCTGTTCAAAATGTTAATGGTTGTTATTTCAAGGTGGAAGCTCCTTAAGTGGCTTTCATCTTCTCCCTTACACTTTGAAAAAAATTTTTTAATGTCACAAAGTTTTTAAAGCTTTTACAATGTTTTTGCACTAGTTCAATTTTTTCGTGTCACAATTTTTTTAGTTTTTACAGAAAGTCACCAGGCCACAAGTAACATGTGCTTCACTGGCAGTAAGGTAGTAAGAAATCATTTCAGAGGACAAATACCACATGCTCGCCCTCATCTGAAGAACTAAAAATAGATTAAACACAGAGTATCACTAGAGATTGGGAGGGGTGAAAGGGATGGAGGGAGTTTGGATTTTAAAAAGATAGGAGAAACTGGATGTGACACTTTAATTGTGATAAAAACATACTAATGTAAGATGTTAATAATGGGGGAGGCTGGATGCAGGGCTTATGAAAACTGCGTACTACTTTACAATTTTCATTTTATGAATGTAAAAATATCGTGAAATAAAAAGTTTAAATAAGAAAGCCCTGAATACTGAGCGCTTCCTTGATGTCCCTCCCACAGAGATATAGGCTAATAATGAATAGTAATGCTGATGGTGATTTTTATGTTGGACATGTGACTGCAATATTACTCTACCTACTTTTTTAAAGATTATTTATTTGAAAGGCAGCGTTACAGTGAGAGAGAGAAGGAGAGACAGAGAGAGATCACATGGGATGCTAGTGCCACAGGTGGCAGCTTTACCCACTACATCACAGTGCCGGTCCCTTTACTGCTTTTTACACACCCTATTCAAGTCCCATCTTATCCTTTATTCAAGATTAATTTGATCATAGAAGCTAACTCTTTTTTTCAAGGATTTATTTATTTATTTGAAATGCAGAGTTACAGAGAGAAAGAAGGAGCGAGAGAGACAGAGAGACCCTCCATCTGCTGGTTCACTCCCCAAATGGCCACAACAACCAGGGCTGGGCCAGGCTGAAGCCAGCAGCCAGGATTTTCATTGGGGCCTCACATGTGGGTACAGGGGCCCAAGCACTTGGACTGGTTTCTGCTTGCCCTCCCAGGTGCACCAGTAGAGGTCTGGGTTGGAAGTGGAGCAGCCGAGACTCTAACAGGAGCCCACATGGACTGTTGGTGCCGCAGCCTGTGACTTAACCCACTATGCCACAGTGCTGGCCCCAACATATTTATTATATTCTTTGTGAACATTACTCACAAATACCAGAAGGCATCATGCCTAGTGCAATTTTTTTTCCACAGTCTTTGAAGTCCCTAAGTGATCTTTGTACCTAGAACAGGCAGGGCTTCCATCTCTGCAATTCCTACTCACCACATGATGGGACAATGTGAAGGGAATGAAGCCAATGTTAAGAATGATTTACCAGGCTGGCGCTGTGGCATACTAGGCTAAGCATCTGCCTGTGGCACCGTCATCCCACCTGGGTGCCAGTTTGAGTTCCCACTTTTGATCCAACTCCCTGCTGATGGCCTGGAAAAGCAGTGGAAGATGGCCCAAGTCCTTGGGCCCCTGCACCTGCATGGGAGACCTGGAAGAATCTCTTGGCTCCTGGCTTCAGATTGGTCTAGCTCTGGCTGTTGCGGACATCTGGGGAGTGAACCAGAGGATGCAAGACCTTTCTATCTGTGTCTCCCCCTCTCTGTGACTCTACCTTTCAAATAAATAAATATTAAAAAAACAAAAACAAAAACACTACCTCTTCCATTGCCAAGTGCAAAGAGCATAAAAGTCATGGGTCAAATGGTCTCCCAGGTGGTCCTACCCTTGGTAATTGACAAATTACAATGGTTGCGCTGCTTTGTAGTCTTCATAACAGTTTGGGTGCATCATCCACTGGCCTTAACACATTTGTTTAGTATTGAATTGTGTTGTTAGGTGTTTGGTCTTCACAGAAACCCTAATTGACACAGGATGAAATGGAAGCAGAGAGATTTATAAACACAGCTAAGAAAGGCAGCAGGTGCACTAAGTTAGAATTGGCTGTCTGTATCCTTCATAGGCTGTCCAATACAAGTCCCATGAGGGCAGAGACATTTAGTCACATTCACTTTTCTAAGTCTAGAGCCTAGGACACTCACCAGCAGAGCAAGGCTTTCAGTCCATATCCACCAGAGGAATGAATGACCCTACCCACCAAAGCTTTTCACATGCATTCCATTGAAAAACTGAAAATGATTATCAGTATGAAATGTCCAGAGCCTGGAAAAGAATCATAGTATACACTTGACTCATTATCTTTATTCCAAATGCCGTAAGTGCATTTTTCCCCCACAGATTAGAAGACAGCATCATTAAAATGAAAAGTAATTGCACATTCATTTTAACGAGACCTTTTATCTGCTGCACTTGCACACACATCTTTATATAAAATCCCTGAATGGAAAACAGCAGGAAGTCCCATGGCAACAGGGCCTGGGATTTGACAAGAAGAGATGAACAAGTTCCATCATTTTGTGATACAATTTACTCATGAACGTTCCAAGGAAGAGGAACTACGGGACAAGAGAAAAAGGAAAATGGAGGCAGGCAAGGAAATCATTATCTCGGTGAATCATTGATCTTTTCTGGGTGGATGGAGCTCATGAATTGACAGGCAGTTCTGGTGCACCTCCTCTTCTCATGCTGCCTCCCACACTTTATTCACTGCTCTTCCTTTTCTCTCTTAAAATGCTCCTAGACACTCCATCATTGTGGGTGGAATTTCTCAATGCCACCCACAAACCGTGCCATTATTCACTCCACACAGTACACAGTTGGGTGCCCAGTGTCCTTTGGCTTCTCTCTCTTTGAGTGTCCCAATTGCCTCCTGTCCCTATTCCTTGTTCCCTTAGCCACCTCTCCCCCTGCCCTCTGCATTTCTCAGAACAGGGGCACCCGAGCACCCACCCAGTGAGCTTCTCCTCTGCCAGAAACACTTCTCTGTTTGCAAATCTGAATCTCCAGCTCCCGGTCTCTAATGCACTGTGACTTCTTCCAAAAGGGAAGGCAGATTCAGAGCTCAAATGCTGCAGAAAGGGGGACCAGAGGAAGCATGGAGACAAGGCCACTGGTATTGTGGCTTAGCAGGTCATTGCTGGTATGCAGAAAAGTATTTTTGTGAAGTGTGGGAAGAAGCCATATTAGGAAGCTGTATATTATCCATTCGGCCCAAAAGAACAACGTGCATGGGGCCAGCGCTGTGGTGCACTAATCCTCTGCCTGTAGCGCCGGCATCCCATATGGATGCTGGTTCTAGTCCCGGTTGCTCCTCTTCCAGTCAACCTGTCTGCTATGGCCTGGGAAAGCAGTAGAAGATGGCCCAAGTGCTTGGGCCCCTGCACCCACGTGGGAGACCCAGAAGAAGTTCCTGGCTCCTGGCTTCGGATTGGTGCAGCTCCGGCCGTTGTGGCCATCTGGAGAGTGAACCTGTGGATAGAAGACCTTTCTCTCTCTCTCTCTCTCTCTCTCTCTCTCTCTCTGTGGCTCTACCTGTCAAATAAATAAATAAAAATCTTTAAAAAAGAAAAAGAAACAACGTGCTTAACTTCTAGCCTTTCCATATTTTGACATTAATCTTCTCATTTAACCTGTTTTATCCCCACTCCTCATTAGCACAGAATCTCAGTCCAGTTTGCATTTTTCTCCTTGCTTTCCCTACTGTTATCACTGTGTTTCACCTGTCTTTGTACACTCAGCTCAAATTACTCTCCCCTACAACCTTCTGAACTGCTTGACACAGCAACTCCTACTGGAATCCTGCTCCATGGCATTCTCTAGTCTATTCCCTTCTTGCTCTGAACTGAATCTAATTCAAATAGATTGTACACAGTTCTTAGGGTAGGTGATTTTTGTAGATAATCTTAGTCTCTAAAAACCGGTATGGTTGGATCTGGTGTTGTGGCAGCCATTTGGGGAGTGAACCAGAGTATGAAGAAGCTCTCTCTCCATCTCTACCATTCTCTCTATCACTCCAGCTCTCAAATAAAGAAATGATAAATATTTCTCTTTAAAAATTAAGAAGAGTAGTGCCCAAGAATGCAGGAGTCAGAGAAAAGGGGTGGAGGAGGACTGCTTTAGTCAAAAAGGGTTTGGAAGAAGTGGTATTCACATCACCAGGTTCATAGTAATCAAATGACAGCTTTTGTTGATAGATGGATTGAGCTTTCCAGGACTCCGACCCTCACACCCCTGGAGGACTCCTCAGGTCAAGCAGAGATGCCCACCTACAGCCCCATACAGCCCTTCCAGAGTATACGAGAGGTATCTGGGTACAGAAATCTCTGTCCAAATAGCACAGAGCTTTGCTTAAAAGGCCTCAGGGTATGCACCCCTAGGCTGAGGAGAGGCCAAGGCTACCTGTTGTGTCCATGAAGATGCATTCTGGACAGTCCAGCTTGTAAGGTCCCTTATAGGGTGGGGGCAGCTGGATTAGAAAGAAGAGTTGGGCTGCTGGTTGCCAACCAGTTTTCCCTGCACTGCAATACTCTGGTGTAGAATTCCAAGGAGTCTCATAATTATAGTTGAAATTTGGCTTATATAGGCAAGCAGATAGGATTGAATCGATTAGATTTGTGAACTGGAGACCATGCCTTCATCCCCCCCTCTGTGTGATCTCATGCCCCTACCTGATCTCACCTGTACGTCCACCTGCCAATTAGACTACGTAACCACTCCCCTTTGGAGGTGAGTAAAAGGCCTGGAGCATGGTGGGCCCCTCCCTTGTTCCTGCACCTTTCGGCACACAGCCTTTTGTGCGCTCTCTGCCTCTGCTTTCCTGTCCACACATTTTTCTCCACAGGGCTCCCGGCCTGCTATCTGCCTGGGATGGACTCAACTTGTGTCTCTAGACTTCTTTCTACCTTAAATATAAATAAAGCCCTCACTTTCCTGTGCATTTCCTTCATTGAATAAACGTTAAAAACTTACAATATCACCTGGTTTATTTTGAGCCGATATTCAGAATTCTTACCTGAATGGATGGCAAGGACCCACCAAATCATTAATATTTAAAATTATGAATAAGGCTGGCCAATATCATAGCCAGAAAGATCTATGTGACAAGATAGGAGGATAGGACATATCTTCCTTTGCAAAGGTCTGTTAGCCTGATTTATAGACATTCACTCTCTAAACAGGGGCTGCTTTTTTTTTTTCTCAAACCCTGCATATGTTAGCGGGGAGCCTGTCTTGGCTCCCTTTGTCATTGACCAGTATTCACTGATGTGTTCTTATCTACCAGAACCCCCTACTGGGTTCTGTCTGAACCTGGGGTTGGGGATAGTTCTGTGACTGACAAATAGTAAATGCCCAACAATTATTCCGTCACCTGAACAGAGCTGAGAGATGAAGTCCAAGACCCAGTTGGAACCACTGAGTCATGGTTGGGAGTGAGGAAGAAGCCAGGAAGGGGTGGGTAGAATGAAAGCTGAGTGCCTTCTGCCCAGAATTCTCTCAAGAATATTTGGGCCAAATAAAAGCGGGATAATAAGTGTTCAGAAGAAATAAACCTTAAAGGCTGACAGAAGATAGTGATGGTTTTTGTTTTCTTCCATACTTTAAAATTGTTGCACTAAAATCACATGGTAAATAATAGTAAGATCATTTTATAGCAACTGCAGCAACTATACAAGTTAAATCTATTTGTCTAAAAATAGTAATAAATTAAATACAAAGATAAGAACATGTTAACCAGCTTTCTATACAGGCAGGCACCATGAAGCTAGAGAGATCTGCTCTCCTAAACTTTTGGTCAACGCTGAAGTCTACTGCAACCCAATCTCCTCATGACACCAAAGATGGCCCAAAGTAGGAAGAAATGGTAGGAGGCCAAAGAGAGCTACAAGAACATCCCATTCTGGATTGAAAAGGATACCAGACTTTTTCCTTTTCCCCTACCTTCAATGCTAATCACACACATTCAGCTCAAAGTAATTATTTTGCACAAATATTTTAAAAAGCAGCCATAATAACTAAGGCTCTAATCTATGCTCTTAAGAGAAAACATTTTAAAAACCAATACAATAGGGCCAGCACTGTGGCAGAGTGGACTAAGCTCCCGCCTGTGGTCCTGGAATCCCATATGGGCGACAGTTCTAGTTCTAGCTGCTCCACTTCTGATCCAGCTCTCGGCTGATGGCTTAGGTAAGCAGTAGAAGATGGCCCAAGTGCTGGGTCCCTACACCCATGTGGGAGACCCGGAAGACTCCTGGCTCCTGGCTTCAGATCAGCTCAGCTCAGCTCTGGCCATTGTGGCTATCTGGGGAGTGAACCGATGGATGGAAGACCTTTCTGCCTCTCCCTCTCAGTGTCTGTAATTCTACCTCTCAAGTAATAAATAAAATCTTAAAAAAAAAAATACAATGCCTGCATCATGGAGCTGACATGCTAATGGGTGATGATTCTTTGCCTTGGCTGCATGATAAAATCACTTGGGAGAGCCTTAAAATGCTGAAATTCTGATACAATAAACTTTAGGGTATACACTGGGACTGAATTTGTTTTAAGCCCTGGCAAGTCTTAAGTGCATCCAAGTTTGAGAATCACAATCCTAATCAAAGACACAGATTAGTGAGGAGGTCACAAGATGGGCCACTGATTCAACAAATGGGCTTTTCAAAGATGGCTGCTGCCCAATGTGTTCAAACAAGGAAGAGTGTGATCAAACAGAGAGAAAACTGATGGTATAGGAATGAAAGGAGAAATTCACAGGTGAGAAATTTAAGAAGCTGAGAGGGGATGGGATCCAGAGCTAGGGATGGAAGCAGCCTTAAATAAGAGCAGGGACATTTTCACTCATTGAGACAGGAAGGAAGGCAGAGCTAACAGGAAATGTGCAAGAGGGTTGGGAGATTTGTGAGTGCAGATCATGGAGCTTCTTTTCCGATGTCCCCTTTTCTAGTTGAAATGAGAGGAAAAGCCATCAGCTAAGTGTAAACAAGAGTCGCATTCACATCTGCCTAGGTTTGGAATATCTGTAAGGTTAATAAATCTAAGTAGGAAATGATATGAAGGTGTTAAGATTTCTGTTTTGGGGTTGAGCATTTGTCGTAGTGGGTGAGACAGCTGCATCCCACACCGGAATGCCTGGTTTGAGTCCCAGCTACTTTGCAACCAGCTTCCTGCTAATGTGCACCTGCGGCAGCCGGTGATGGCTCAAGTACTTGGGTCCCTGTCACCCATGTGGAAGAAACAGATGGGAGTTTCTGCTCCTGGCTTTAACCTAGCACAACCCTGGCTGTTGCAGGCATTTGGGGGAGTGAAAGAGTGGATGGAAGATCTATTTATCTATATATCTCCTTCTGTCTACCTTTCAAATAAAATGAAAATATGTTTTTTAAATGTCTGTTTAATTTTCTCATCTCTAAAGGAGACTCAAAGTTGAATAATACTCAGAGATTTCAAGGTCACATTGACATGAATCTAATTAAAAGAAAAAAATCTCCACTGTGGACCACTAAGGGAAAAATAGGCTTGCCACAGAAAGCATTGCCTACAGTGTTAAAGTGCCCTATAGCTCCTGAACCACTTTCACCAGAGGGCAGAAGTGAGGTGGAAAATTTATCTACCACACCAAGGACTAGGACTGCAGCTCATGCTACTTGGCAGAAGTACACACTGGACACTTTAATGGAAAGTCTGCCCTTTCCAAAATTTCAATCCAATTTCTCAGGTAGAACTATTGAGTGCTGAACAATCATGCATTTGAATGGAAATACCTAATCTCTGGGACATTGCCCACTGCCCTCAGCTCTGGCCAGAACTGCACAAATAGCAGCTCCCTGTATCTGATCAACTACACACAGTGTCAGTCCACCTTTAGAGGTGAAATGATAAAATCTCCTTTTAAGGTTCTTTTCATTGTTAGTGCTTTGAAAGTCCGATTTCACTCCAAAATAACCAAGTATGTAGGTTTATATGGAAACTTTAGGGCCTTCTATCTCTCCCTGATTGAAAGCCTTACACAATTTGTTCATCCCTTCCATATTTGTACATTGGTTTTCATTTCAATAATATAACTAGTGCCTCAGAAATCAATGTAAGCATTTTGCATGTGATTTCTTGTTTTATGGGCCTATGATTACTTTTTTCATTACATAATAATAGAAAGCCCAGTATAATTGGGATCATTCCTGAGAGAGTCCATATTGAGTGCCACAGTCCCATGTATGCCATTAACTAGGTCTATAACCTTGAGCACGTTACCTTACCTCCCAAGGTCTCAGTTTCTTTCACCATAAAGTAATAGGCATTAACTAGATGCTCTCTAGGTCCTTTTGACATTCTCAGTACTATCATTTAAATCCTGCATTTTGTCTTTGGGTGCACATACTAGTTTAAGCCATGCGACCTGTGCCCTACAAGAGGGAGGAGCTCTTATGGTGGTTTAGTTTCCTATGTTTTTGCTTTGCTGTGCCCATTCCAGAGAGTATA